ATTTTTATGTTTATGGTCTGATTAAACTGTGCTATTTGCCCAGTAATCCGCTATCCTGGTTCAAGTTTGCTTTTCTTTTTGGTCTGTTTTCTGTAATCGCGATTAAATGTTTCTTCTGGAAGTCAGTATGTGCATTGATGATTTAAAGAAGTTTTTTTTTTTAAAAATCAGTACAATTGAGCTGACATAAAGCTAGGTCGTAGCCAGCATGTGTGGTCACATTCGTTTTGTTGCGATCGTTTGTTCGGTGATATAGCGTTTAACCGTGCATAACGCCTTGGAAATAATTGCTACTCTGTTTCTTCTGGTTTCAGGCCGACTCAATTTATAATCGATCATTTTACAGGTCATTCATTCCAATGCTCTTTCAATCCAGTTCCTTTCAAAATCAAATTAGACTTTTTCATTTCTTTTGATGTGAATACTTTTTGGTTTTTATTTTCCATCTTCTTCATAGGCCAATTCAAAATTCTATGTTATCTATATTTATATCTACCGGTGGTATTTGTTTCAAAGTTGCAGTCATTCGCAAAGCCGAAGGTGGCCGTCAGTTAATACTCGGGTAAGTTGTTTATGTGAAAAAATAGACCTTGAGGTATACAACTGTTTACGATGCAGGCAGTTTTTTCAATCTGTAAAATGTTCTTTGAAAAACGACACACTATTTATCTCGTGGTTTACTTTGTAGACATTTTTACGCTTGCAATTAGCAAGCGTTAACAAATCGGAATGTAGACGTTTTTGGGTCAACTTGCTGAACAAAATCAGTGATTCGTTTCAGAATCCGGCTCGTAACAAATTCAATTTTTCTAGCGTCATCTGAACAATGGTTCTTGAGATAACGACTACGCCTTGGAAGTGTAATTCATCATATCATTTGTAAGTTTTTTCTTTCTGAATTTTTTAGATAATCGATTCGATTTTGTTTTTGCTTAAAAGAATATCTTTCCTCAATTTTTTCGGCTTGTTTTACTGACTTAGTGATCTAGTCTTGCGTCCTTTGAAATAATTTGCAAACTTCTGCAAATTGTTTTCTGCTCAATGGGAGCTTACCGCTTGACGGCTCAGTTGTCGCTCGATAGCTGCTTTCAAAGTCTAATTTAACAACACCTATTGTGTTTTGGACGTTCTTTCCCAAAATTGAACATCTTTCCAGACAAAATTTTTGTTAAATGTGTTTTAAGTTTCTTTTTCGAAGTAGTGGCTTTACTTTCATTATCTGTCTGCTGGCCTGCATTTTTAGATGGTGTCGTTTTGTCAGTGGTGCAGAAGTCCGCTTCGCCTATGTTCAAAACCTAAGTTGAGACAACGCTGATTATTTGCTTCAATGTTACCATAGTGAATGTTTTGTTTTATACCGGTTCGTCATGATATTTGTGACAGTTGATCGTTATGTCGGAATAATTAGTTCATCTGGATGGCTCAATGGGAAAATTGACAGGAAAGAAGTCTACAATTTTTTTTTCTAAAATCTACAATTGAAAACAACAATTCGTGTGGGTGGGCATTGGTCTTATTTTGATTTTACGCAACTGAAATATTATTTACTGGTTTTATGTAAATACGCAGTGTAGTTTCACGAAAAAAAAAGATTTGAAAAATGTTTTCAGTTTCCTCAACTCTTCTTTAAGAAAGCCCCATCCTGCTCATCATATACACAGCGAGCTCCTTAAAGAAGACATCTTTGATATTCATTACAGTAGATCAAACTCTAATTTCTCGAGTTCCAACTTTCGCCATCAAACTTCTTTTGTTAATGAAATTTATTGGATCTTTTTCGAATATGTTGAAATCTGCTGACTGCACGGTAAATAATCAAATAATTTTTACCAAAGTTACTGGGACTCAACTTATAATACATTAACACTGAAGAATTAAGGAAATCTCCAGCTTTTAGGTCAAATGAAAAATTTTCTATTTTGGTTGGAAATGGGGAGGAACTTGGTGTTCGGGTGTGTTTTAGTTAGGGTGTTAGTTTAATTGGGTACAGCAAAAATTCATCGAAGTGGGTCGATTTTATATCATACTCACGACCTCTTAGCTGTGATTCGAGCGCTTTGAAGCATTTCAAAAAGTTGTTCCAGTGTCGAGAAAACCGCGTTCCAAATTTTTTTGATTCATGCAAATGAAAGCTATTTTCGGAAGCGTCATTTAGCGCTTTCTTTGGCCTTTTTTTTGCATTTTTTTGTTTATGAAGCGTCATTTAGTTTCGGAAGCGTCATTTAGCGCTTTCTTTGGCAATTTTTTTTGCCTTTTTTGTTCATCATCCCAAGCGCCAGAATTCACACTTTTTAAAAAAAGAAAGAAAAAAATTGTATTTTTTAGACAAGCCTACTGTGTCATAGTACGAGTTTTTTCAACCTAAGTCGCAAATTAAAAAGCTCCTTAATGCTCTTGCTGTATTGCTTGATTTCAATGGTATTTTAAAAGATTTTCTTCAGTGTCGCTTTGTTAGTGGCAAGTTATTGTTTGATAGTAACGGGTCTCCTGACTCGTTGTTAAGTTTTTGCCTTTTTCGCAGAAATTCTAATTTTTCTCCTGAAGTATTTCATCATTTTGTTCATTTAAAAATACCAATGAAATCCTATTACGCTAGTCTCTTTTCATCTTGATTGATTACTTTCTACCGCCTTCAAAATATTAAGTGTGTGGGTTTTTTTTGATCTTTTCTTAGGATTTTTTTTTCTGTTTCTGAAAACTGCCTAACCTGAAGTGAGATTGAAGCTTTATTGATAGAGCATGTCATGTCATGGAGATCTATCATGCATAAACCGTTACGCCTTAATTTTTTCGTAGAAAAATTAATGGCGTTATTAAGTGTCGTGGTTTTGAGAGCTAATCGTTTTTTTTTATATTTGAGAATAAGTGTTCAATCAATCGAACAGGAGGTAGAAGTTTACCCGGCATAAACGGCTATGCCATTAAATTTTTAGAAAACAGTATGGTTTTGAAAATGCTTTCTTTAAAATGTTCTTGGTGAAGTTTTTTCTTTTCTCGAAAAATAACTCTCCGAAATATGCAAAAGTTTAAAGGTGCAGAAAAGAGCGTAGGAGCCATCCTTACATACTTTTTCTGTAAAAAGCAACATGACTCAAGGAAAAATTCATTTGTTGAATTTTGTAACCTTTTTTGAGAATTTTGTTCTCGAGATTTACCCTGCCAAAACTGGGGAAAAAAAGCTTTCAATATGAAAAGGTATTTTCCCCTGCATAAGCCGCTACTCCCTATTTTGGTTGAGACTATTCTCGAAAGTTGCTCTCCCAAATCTTTCATAAAGGGTGCAATCGAAAGAACAGGTTTGGGGATCTGCTCTGCATTAAAGCTTTCCACTTTTTGTTTGAGTAAGCGTTAGAAATTTAGAAGATGCTAGAAGAGTTTTTTGAAATCATTTTTTGTCTTTTCTCGAAAACTACCCAGCTGAATCTGAGATTGGAAGTTAGATTAAGATCGTATAATCGGGATCTACCCCAACAAGCGGCAAATGCCTCATTTAGCACAGAAAACTATAGTTTTTCTCCAAGCAGTTCACCAATTTTTTAAAATTTAAAGGTAGTACCAATAGAAGTTTGGCTTCGCTGATGTGCGGATGCATATTAAGCTGGTCTCTTTTTATCTTGATCACTTTCCACCGCGTTTAAAATATTCAGTCTGCGGGTTTTTGATCTTTTTCTTACGATTTATTTCAGTTTCTGAAAACTGCCTAATAAAAGCTTCAATTGATAGAGCATGTCATGGGGATCTATCATGCATAAACCGTTACGCCTTAGTTTTTGTAGAAAAAAATTAATGGCGTGATAAAGTGTTGTGCTTTTGAGCATTATTCGTTTTTCTCATATCTGAGAATAAGATTTCAATCAATCAAACATGTGGGAGAAATTTTCCATGCATAAACTGCTATAACCTAAATTTTTTTTAGAAATCAGTAATGATTTTGAAAATGTTGATTTTTCGACAGTTTGTGTGTAGTTTTTTTCTTCTCGAAAAGTAACTTCCCGAAATTTGCAAAGGGCTAAAGGTGCAGAAAAGAGCGTAGGAGCCATCCTTACATACACCGCTTCTACGCTATTTTCAATGTCTGAAATTAGCTCCATTTCCAACTTTGAATTTTTTCAATGATTTTTCATGACCTTCTGCAAACTGTTTTCGGCTCAAGGGGAGCTTGACGGCTTAGTAGCCGCTCGATGGTCGATAGATGCTTTGGAATTCTTATTTAACCATACCTAATGTGTTTTGGGACGTTCTTTCCTAAAATTGAACATCTTTCCAGGCAAAATTATGGTTATATGTTTTAAGGTTTTTTTCGAGTTAGTGGCTTTAATTTCATTATCTGTCTGCTGGCCTGCATTTTTTGCTGTTGTGGTATTGCCAGTGGTGCGGAGGTCCGCTTCGCCTGTGTTCAAAATCTAAGTTGAGACGACGCTGATAATTTGTTTCAATCTTACCATAATGGATGTATTATTTTTTCATGCGGGTTCATCTTGATATTTGTGACAGCGGATCGTTTTGTCTGAAGTTGCGCTACGAGTTTGACGAAGAAGTTTTTAATTATAAATAACTATAATTTCCAAAAATTTAGAGGTGATTGTAAGCAGGCTCGATGTTAACTGGCCAGTAGTTCGATGTTGGCTTTTTGTCTCCTTTTGGTAAGTGGAGTAAATTTAATTTTTTTTTCGTCGACTGGAATACTTTTTCAATAACGTTTTATTATATAGTAAGTGTGAAGATTTGGAGAGAGCTGCGATGGATTTTTTGTGGAAAAGAGAGTGAATAAAATCTCTAGAAAGATTTGTAGGAGCCATTATTAGAGAGGAAGGGTTTGTGGTACGGCTCAGTTTTATAATCTAAGTTAGTGTTTTGATTTCTTTTGAATATTCTTGTTTGCACTAGATGAGATAAGTCAGGAAGAGATTTTTGTTGTTTGTCTCGTTTTTGTGCAATTTATTGGCTCTGTGTTTATAGTTGCATGTCAACTTGTATTTATCTGCCTTTAATGTTTTTAGAGTAATCCCAGTAAAAGTAACAATAACAGGAGTGCACGAAGCGGCAGGGCGAGTGTATCGTCTTGCAAGGATGTCAACAATCCGTTGCAAGCTAGTGAGGCCGAAGTTATTCCAGTCGCCACGTTGATCACAAAAACAAGTATCACTCCACCGCCTGTGGTGAGCAGCAGTAGTAGTCTGATTTTGACAGACCACACAGGCGGTATGGATGGAACCTCGTTTCTGAAGAGTGTCAGGGCCGCGGCAACAACCACAAACGGAACAATCAACCATGGTGGAAATAGTTTGACAGGCACTGCTCATTCAAACAGTGCTTTCGTGCCATTCATGCGATCCAACTCTGCAGTAGCCACAGTAGATGGCTCATCCTCTTCTTCTGGAGATGCTAACCATCAAATATCTAATCTAGATATGCATCCACTTTTGCAGCAGATGTTTTTGAAGACACCTTCAAGTTCAACTAGCAAAGAAAAAGGTTAATTTTCCGAAGCAGGCAACCTATAGGAACGCTTTGAAAACATGTTTTTCTTGTGCAAAGTTTCCTTGTGCATAACATACAGCATCAGCTATATCCTCTTAATTAAGTTTCAATCGTTGCAGTGATATTTGTTAGATATTTTTTCATCTATCTATCTATCTATCTATCTATCTATCTATCTATACCTATATATCTATCTATACTATATTTAAATGCTAGTGACAGCTATCTCCCATGTTTAAGCATAATATTTTTGCATGTTTAACGAAAGAATTTTTTCATGTTTAAGCTATATCATATATTGCAATACTTCTTTTTAGAAAACTTAAGGTGAAGTTTCTCAAAATTTGAATATTCCACCGTTGTAGTTGGGTGCTGTAAGAGTACTCTCAGGAGTTGCAAATCTTGCGTCCAAATGCGACTGCTCAATTGCTTTTAGTTTGCCAGATGTGACGTTTCTTAGTTCATTTTAAATTTTTTCAAAGACTAATATAAAACTTAACAAAATTTTATACTTCTTCAAAGTTTGTATAAAAAACTTGAATGAAATCTTTGCAAATTTTGTAATCACGAACCCTGTAATTTGGTGCTGTCAAAGCACACTCAAAGAATGCAGATCTTAATTCCAATATATGCGGTTTATCATGAGTACCGGAGGTGCGTTTTACGCTAGTATTTATGAATACAATTTTTGGGCAAAGCAAGAGATACGACCCGCTAAAGCCAGCAAAGTTTACCGGGATGATCGAGGTACTATCGTTATCGTTTCAAATTTCTTTTTTTTATCAGGCAACAAACATATTTTTTGTTTTTTTTTTTCGTTTTTTTTTTTTCGTTTTTTATTTATAGTTTAGGAATTCGACTCCTTCATCAAGCAAAGGGCCCCTCCTTTGAAAATATTATATGGCATCCATTTTCGGCCGACCAACCCTGAAAAGACGTCTTCGGCACCAATTTATACTTATTTTGAGGGGGATGCGCGCACCGAAAAAAAATCAGTTTTTTGGTCAAAAGTTCCAAAAATGCTTAAAATTTTTTTTGCCTGTTTCTAAAATTGGTCTGAGGCCGCGAAAGTTTGACCAAAATAGGGTTTTTAAGTGATTTGAGACAGCTCAGAAAATTAATTTGGTCGGCCTAAAAATTTTTGAATTTTATTTCAAACCATCCTCGAGAAAATCCTAGATCCGCCCCTTATTCGGCGCATATTGTATCGTTTTATATTAAATCGACTTAGTGGCCCCATATTGCATCGTTTGATCAGCAAAAAAGTTTATCATGGGTTTGTGCGTGAGTTGTAGGCTTTACCGCTGTGTAAGTTTTATTCTAATCTTATATTTGCTAAATGAAAGTAGGAATGCGCTATGGACGCAACGCTCAAAATTTTCTATCGAGAAGAACGTTTAAGAAGGCTTAGATCCGAACTTTAAAGAATCATTCAGAGCCACTATATAGCTCAATGTTTAAAATGCGTTTAGTCAAGAACGTTTTTGAACTTTCAATCAATCTAATGTCTGAATATTCTAGAAATATTCTTTTTTTTTTGGAAAAGTCCCAGCCTCTTGAAACAAGCTGAACTCGACTCAGCTTTAAGGATAGGCAGTACCAGTAGTATACATATAGTGCATTAGGATCGGGGTCATACATGGATGACCATTAGGTATTGATCATAGTGGTCACTATGTAATATCTGACAACCAATGGTCACCATGTAAAAATCCAAATTGTCACCACGTGTTAATTTATAACTTATAGTCCTCATGTAATAATACTTATTGTCACCATGTATTAGGTTTTAATTTATAGTCGCCATGTAATCTGCATTGGTTTCTATTTGCAATTGTCACCAAGTAATTTATGATTTAAACTAAAAAACTTTTTGTAAAAAATTTACAGTTGTCATTGCAGTTTGGCTTAATATGAGTTGCGCTATCTGCACTCTTTTCAGCAGCCTTTCCTTCCTTGCTGACAGACATTTTGGACAAAAAAGATTTTTATTACGCAATAATCTTTAAATTGGAATGTATATGGAATTAAACCATGTTAAGTAAAAATTAATTATTGAGAACATTATCATTAAGGTATACAAAATCCGAGTATACATATCAGAGTTTTGTGTATATTCGAGTATTGTGTTTATTCGATCTGTTTTTGTGCATAAATATTGTCAAAATTTGTACCTAAGTTATTACTATAAAACTGAAGATAAAATAAATTTTATTGGGGTCCGAGTAGAGGAAAACGCACGGCGCTCGACTCTCAGACGAAAGGCGGCGTTTCGAAACCCGTCTGGAAATTGTACTGAAAAGAGGCTTCAGTTGCTGGTATTTTGATATCACTCCCCCCATAGATCGATTTTGTATTTTTTTTGATAGTAACCTAACTTCTCGGATTATTGCTATTCATTTAACAATTTAGTAAAAATGTCAATTACTAAAAGAATGTAGTGTTCAAAATGAAATTGAATTTTGTACAAATAAGCCATATTAAATAGTTAGTTAATGAGAAAGCATGTGAGTTAGAAAATGTTTCAAAACATGATCATTTATGAAAACAAAATCAGAAGCATCACCATTTAAATTTTTATCATAAATCAAATGTGCAATATAAATACAAAAAGAACCGCACATGGTAGAGTTTGAGTCTTGCATGGGAAAGTTTGTCATCAATTCAGTGACCTGATGGAATTTCTCGTTCAATCGTTCAAATATGTTGGTGTACTGCTAAAGAGGAAGACCGAGAGGATCAGCGAAGCATAAAACATTTCTTCTGTTGCAAAGCACAATCCAATGTGTCCCGGAGAATCTGATTTTGAAGTGTTCAGAATCATAAAGATATTGTTTGGGATGTGAGGTGGAAAATTGGCCGCTGCAAATACTCCAAGAAACTTATATTTCAGATGTTTACAGTTCTGAATGAGATCCTGCAACATGATTTAATCCATTTTCAGACGGTCGAAATTGGAAGGACGTTCTTTGTAACTTTACGGTCAGAAGTAATAAATACATTCGATAAGCGTATACCCCAAACAAAAATTTCCAGGTTTGCTGTCAAAGCGTTTGAGAATTGAACATCGAGTGAAACTGAGCAGTTTGTAAGTTCTGGATGCAAGAAGTCATGAGCTGCCTGCTGTGTGCTATTGAGATTGAAACACATAATAAAGTGTCACTGGTGGTTATCCAGAGTGATTCGCAGCCCGCAGTGCAACAGACCCAGCGCTGATAGTGTGTTGAAGAAGAGAAGTTTACGATCTTGTGTTTTAATTGGTGTACTTGCTATTGGTAAACCGTTCCGTCTCAAGGTAACCTGTTCCAATCCAAACTTTTGATAATGAAAAGGATTCGTTCGGTTTGTTCCTAGAAATGCATTATTTGTGTTCATTGCTATTATAATTTGTCTCACCGGTTCACGAGCAAAAATATCTTCCTGTTGCCAGCTGCGCTGACCAGCTGTTACAAGAAATTTTTTGGTAATTTCTTCTTGATATGGGTAGTTCGCAGGAGTTTTGAGCAAAGTTGATTCAATGGCAGAGAGCACATGGTCGGTCACACTAATTTTTCTAACAGATAGGTTCGCTTCGAGTATTTGCAGCTTGTAATGCTTGGCAGCATCTCCAGATATAATGAGAAAGTCTTCATGAGAACGTCTGTAGGAAAGTCTGATGGTAACACCGCTCAAGAAATGCTTGTCACATGTGAAAAAATCAACTCCAGTGGGTCAATAGAACCAAATTTCCCGTGATTCGCGGACCAGTTCTCGTTGAGATGTGAAACCAGCTGCATCTGTTGTAGCGGGATTGTTTTCAAAACAATATTCCTGACACTTGAGCCGAGCCATGAGTCCTTGGCTCCTTTGCTGTTAGAAAATTCTGTTCAAATAAAGCTTTAATGCGCAAAATTACTATTGGAATTTGAGATTTTGAGTCCATTAGCAGAGAGGGTACAGTCAGAGAAAAAGGAATACAGGGAGTTGTTTACGAGGAACGGTGAATCAGACACAGTAGTATCAGTGTTGTCGTATCTCAGATCAGCTCCATTGATTGCGTTACTTTACATCGTATTTCCAAATAGATTTTTTGTAGGCCAACAAAATTGTTACGGTCACCGGTTATTTCAAATTCAAGCATTGGTCCATTAGGTGAATAGACAGGTCCAATTTTTTTATCGAAAGCGTTTTCAAAAGTAATCAAAAGGGTTTGTTTTTGAAACAAATCCAGAGAGCTATGGGTAGCTTCATTGGGTAACAAATTAGCGATCATTTTTATGTTAGAGAAAAAATTTGCTCGACTTCTCGCTGCTCTGGTTTTTCTTCGAATGGTTGTTTTTCTTTTTCGAGCTCCTACTGACTTTCTTCTTCGAATCCATTCATTGCAGTTTTTGTGACAGTGTTTTTCAATGCTTGTTTAGGAGACTTCTTTTTCATAGCGACATCAATCAGTTCTGGCGCTGCACTCATCAAAAGTTCTCTGCCCATTTTTTTCGCAGCCGGTAGAATAACCCGTCGTGCAAACGATATAGCAACACGACCAATACCAGCAGCCAAATCCACTGCCGCGTTGTCGGTAGTGTCCAGAGAAATGAGGAAGTGAAGCTTGCTTTGCATAATATTGTTTCATTGGTTTTCAATCAAAGTGCTTGAATTTTAGAGTCAACACATCTTTACCAGTTCCTGCAAAGGGCACTAGTCTTCCAGTTTCTGTGCGCAACTGTACCGATATTGATTGTACAGATGAAGTGAATAATTTTTTGTAGTCTAAATTAGTGAAGTTTTTTCGATGATTAGGTTCAATGCCGCAGGCACTACCGTTTTTGATGCGTCTGTTTGAATCAATGACGCGTAACAAGGGGGCCTTTGCATCTCCAACAATTTGGTGTTGAATAAAGTCAATGTAGACAAAACTTAGACTTGTCCCATTTGAAAAGTCATATGGGAAATGAGATTCGTACAGTTCGTTTCCTTCATAAGATGCATCGAAGGAGCGTATCATTTTGTAACCAATG